GTCTCGCCGCGCTTCCCAGAGAGGCCGCCGGCGCGACGGAGGGCTGTGCTCGACTGGGTCTCCCTGCGCAGTCGCCCCGAGCCCTGCGCGACCCCTTCGGGTGAGTACGCGGGCCTGGGCGCGGGGCGCGCCTCCCCCGCCGCTCGTGCAGCCGCAGTCGATCCCTCCCGGGCCGCTGTCAGCAGCCCGGCTGCCTCCTCGTCCCTGCCCGCGAATGCGGAAGCCCGGCCCGGCCCCCGAAAAACCCCAGCGCCTTTCTCCTCCTTCCCGAGGACGGCATCCAAAGGGGCAGGGTGAAGTGTCGAGGAGGGAGACACGCACCAGCCCTCAGGGCAGAGCGCCCAGGCGAGACGCTGTGGGTGGGAATTCTCCAACTCCGGGCTCCAGGCAGGGAAGGGACCGCAGGGGAGCAGACCTTGAACTTTCCTCGCTTCAGTGATTCCTAGGATGGGAACCCAGTGAATGCCCTGCCCGTTTTTGTTAATTAAATTAACAGGTTGCAGTTTATAGGTGTTCTTAAAAAAAAAAGAAAAGAAGGATGTTTGCTAACTTCATCATGACTAAATAATAAAACTAATTTTCATTTCTATTTTTGAAAACACTACAAGGCCTTTCAGGTGAATGGATAAACTGTGTTTGATCCATGTGGTAACATTTTAGCTGCTAGTATTCACTCTACTCTCGGGAACAATGTGTGTGTGTGTGTGTGTGTGTGTGAGAGAGAGAGAGAGAGAGAGAGAGAGAAAGAGAGAGAGAGAGAGGCAGAGAGACAGAGAGATATAGAAGTAAACATTCCATGCTAGTATAGTATTTACGTATGAATATGTCTTCGGAACCAAAAAGAAAAAAATTGTGTAAAGTTATGTTGAATATAAGGACATGTATGTCCCCCTGATTGTAAATGATGTACTGTCTGGAATCCAAGCAGGACTTCTAGGAAGCGTTCAGGCTTCTTTTTTTTTTTTTTTTTTGTCTTCAGAGACAAGATTTTCAAATTTACTGAATATAAAAAGTAGAATCACTATAAAAACTATGTTTGCTGTGAAGTATTGACTTTTTTCTAACTTTTATTCCCTCAGTCTTTGTAACTTAAAAGTAACTATGGATTTTGACGTTTTGACTCAGGTATTTATCCTTCCCATCTGACTCTCCTGATTCCTGTGATCAGAAACCAGTACTCGTTGGTTTTTATTTAATTTGTGTCTTAAAGCTGCCAGTCATTTAAAACAACAACTCCAGACTTGAGTGAGTTTCACTGAACTCAGTAGATGTTATTTTCTTTGGCCTTGTGTTTTGAATATGGTCATGGCCATCCATTCTTTCTCATAAAGTTGTTACTGAGAAAGAGCTATCCTGTATTAGTGATGAGTTTTTCACTTTATAACATGATAGAGGTCATACATATTTTGCCATTTCAATAAAAAGTTGTCTCTGTTCCAAGGACCCCAAGGCCTTTCTGCCTCTGGAGTTTTCTGTTTTAAAATCTTGCGCCATTTAAGTGTTTTGTTGTCTCAAGGACTGCAAGATAAGAACAAGGGAACAAAATCACTTAAAGGTTGAAACAATGTGAAGAGGAAAGTCTAGGAAGTGATTTATGGATGGGATCCTCTAAATTAGCTAGGGTACCACAAATACCATCTGGTGTCTATGCAGAGCCATTTATGGTGGTTTCATTGATTGACTTAAAAGGTTGCTTTTTATTTAAAAGGTTGTGTGGTCTTTTGTGCTGGAGTAGAAGTAAGAAGTTGCAACTTTACTTCTGTTAGTGCTATTCGTATTTTTTAAACCTGAACTAAGCATTTGCGTTATGTAAAATGTAATGCATCATCTCTTTACATCAGTCTTTTAACCTTAACAATTTAATATAGCATACTAAGATCTAGTCTTACACCAAGGACTGGTCTAGGCTAATATGATGGGACTTCAAAATGTGTGAAAAAATGGGATTAAAGTACACGTTATTTTGGTGGGACAGATTTTGCAATCATGCAGTGTTTTTCCACACTTTCCGCAGACTTTTTGAGGACTCTCCCCACCTCCCGCTCATAGGAATTTGGTTTTTCTCACCTTTCAACCTGTTCTCCTTTTGTAGACTTGGATGTCTCCTTATCCTGAGTCGACTCTTTGGATGGAATCTGTGTTTTCCCTCCCCAGGTTGTTCTTCTACCTATCCATCATCCATGCATCTATTTATTCATTTGTTTACCCAGCAACAAATAGTTATTGAGCACCTACTAGAGACCTATCATCACTTAGTGCTCATCCTTTCTTCCTTCCCGTGAAATTTTATTCTGTGTTTTATATTTCACATTGCAGGGAACACAATAGTAATTAAGCATGAGCTTGGGATTATACTGAAGGAGTTGTGCCTGTTTCTGCCTGGTCGTAGCTGTATGACCTTGGGCAGATTATAGCCTCTTTGAATGTCTACTTCTTCACTGGTAATTTCAAATGGTTGGTATGAGGACTAACTGAACACATAAAAAAGACTAAAAAATGTTAATTATTCGTATATTGCCTGTATCTGCTACTACCCTGTTCATTTCGGGAAATACATTTTCCATCTCAGGAAATTCATGTCCAGCATGTTTTTCAAGCCGCTGGGTCCAGGACTCAGACTGTGTAATCAACCACCTGCTGGCCTGGTCTCTTCCTTTTAAGTGTGTCCAGAAGCAGAGTTGTTTAAACTGTCTCAAGCTGTAACTACCTGGTCCAAGTTACCTGCATCTCTCACCAGATAACAGCTTCCTGAATAGCTTCCCTGCTCTGTTTCTTGTCCTCCTACAAAGTATTTTCAGCTAGCAGAGAATGAGTGGCTCTTCTGAAATGTATGAGGGATCTTCAAAAACTTCATTGAAAAATGTATATGCATGGACTTCATTTTATTTTTCCATCAAAACAAATTCATATTTAATTTCATTTTTCCGCATCTCTTTGTAAGCAGATCATGTCACTCCTCTGCTTCCTGTCGCACTCACAGTAAAAGCCCACACCCATAATGGCCCCAAGGTCTGATCATGATCCAGTGCTATGTCCTGGATCTCCCCTCTCATACTGCCCTGTACCTATGCCCCATCCAGTCATATCAGCCTCCCGGATTCCTTCGTGCACTCAGCACACATACAGCATAGGCCTTTGCATCTGTCCCTTCTCTCTGGATCACTCTTCAGGATATCCACTTGTCTCCCTATCTGTTTTCATGTCTGTTTTGTAATATTACCTCTGGTGAGGCCATCTTCAAGTTCTCTCATACATGACATTCCCTATTAACTTTCTGAGCTTTAATTTTCTCTGCTAACTATCTAAAATACTGTTTATTTCATTTTTATCTGTTAAATGTCTGTTTCCCTCAAAGGCATTATTGGCTGCATGGCCACAGACGCTTTGTTAGAAAGTTCGTGCCTGGCACAAAATAAGCAACTGGCAGATATTAAACAAATGGTGAATGACTGCTGTTATGGAGTTCACAGATCTGGACTTCAGCACTTTTCTGTTTTTGAGATTTTTGCTACAGGGTGCATGTGTTTGCTATAGAGACAGAGAAACAGAAAGGGAGAAATCACCCTCGGTGGGGGGGAGTTGGGGGGGTTGGCCACATCATAATCCCTTTTCCCCTAGTCTCCTGTTGGGATTTAATGTGTTCGGGTGAGTTTCAAGCTGCTGGATCCGGGACTTGAACTGCGGTTGACTAATGTGGGAGTCCAGTGATGTAACCATTATGCTGGTTCCAACCTCACCTCTTTCTAAGTGTGATTGTATCACTGTTCTGCTCTAAAACCTTTGATAGTTCCCTATTCTCAGCTCAGTAAAATACCAACCAATACTTTGATTGAACCTCTCTTGAACTGGCACAAAATTACCCTAAATTCTCCCAGCTCACCTCCAAGCAGCATACGTTCCAGTCACACAGTACTAACGACCCCTTGCTACACTGGTCCCAGACGGCTTCCTCTGTGCCTGTGCTCAGCATGTTCTCCCAGCTTCCGTGTCCTTATGTCCCTCCCATTTTCTTTTGCATTTCTCTAGCTGTTAGTACTAAGGGAAATACTGGCTTGTACTAAACTATGTGACGTTCTTTTTAAAATTAATTTATTATTACTATTTTTAAATTTGGCCAGCGAGAGACAGAGGGAGAAAGAGAGAGAAAGCAAGAAAGCAAGCTACCAGGGCCAGGACTCAAACTGCGGGCAGCCATGTGAGAGTCCAACACCTTAACCATCTGCCAGCCTCTAGGTGACATTCTTGATATCTAGTATAAGAACTTGTCCTTTTAGAGTTGGAAACCCTGACTGAAGGCCTCTGGATTATCAGTTTCAGCTGTGGTAACCAGCATCTTCATCACTACTATTATATGAAAAAGCAGAGGTTTCCAAAATGTTGAGAGTGCCATCTACCCAATAATATCGTTACTTTTGAGAGAGAATTACGTGGTATAGATTAGTTCTGAGATGCAACGGAGTCACAGCGTGACATTGTGAAAGAACAGTTAAATCAACTCGACCCGTTAAACTGATGCTCAAAGAAGACAAAAATGTAAGCAATTCTATGGTCCGGTGATCCCCAATTCTTCCTGATCATGCTACCGAGGCTAATTTGTCTAGTAATAGTAGACTCATTCATCCTAGAAATAATATGAATATTTTATATCAGATGATTTCATAATCAGAAACTTTCTAGCCAACATATAACAGGGCAAGATTTTAGATTTATACCTTTGTTGTGCAGACAGTATACGACAGAGGGCTGAAGTTAGGTGGCCAGAATTTAAATCCTTGCTCTGACAGACAAGTTTTGTTATTTTGTACAAGCTACTATCTAAGCCTCAGTTTCAACATGTGTAAAATGAGAAAAAGTAAGACTGTTTTCATCTTTGGACTGCTGTGAATGTAAAAGAGGTGTGTGTGAAGCTCGTTAGCGTGGTGTCTGGTCTATCCTAAGTACTCAGTCCGTGTAAGCCCTAGTAATCATAGTGCGGTGTTTGCTGCAGAAACAAGATGATGCTGTATGGGGATGCTCAGCATCCTTGCTGGCCTAGTCATTCTTGCCATCTTCAGAGCCTGCTGCTCTTCCCTCCTGGAAATGGAATGGCAGGTTACTCTGACTTCTAGTCTTGCCTGAGTAACAAAGGGGCTTCTCTTTCTGAGAGTACCACTCTGCTCATTGGGCACATGTCTACTGACTGCCCACTATGGCCTAGTGTTGTGCTGTGCCCTGAAAATGAACAGTCTCTCTTTTTTTTTTCTTCAGGAGAGTATGAAAAAGTGAGGGAGACTGGGACCAGCAGTTAGTGTAATGGCTATGTCGCTGGACTCCCATGTAGTCGACTATGGTTCGCGTCCCGGACCCGGTGGCTTAAACTCACGCCGAGTGCGTGTACGTGCGTGCCCAAGATCCCAAGAGGAGAACGGAGGAGAAGGGATTGCGGTGTGACTCCCCCTGGGGAGTGATTTCTACTTTCTGTCTCTGTGTCTCTCTCTGTCTGTCTGGCGAGTGCATGCACCCCATAGCAAAAACCTCTCCAAAAAAACCCCCCCAAAAAACAAAAACAAAACAGTGAGGGAGATAAACACATAAACAGGGAATTTTATGGTGAGGTCTTAAGAAGTTAGGAGAAAAACACCTTCTCATCTGGTAGCATTCAAAATTAAAAATGAAAAGATTTTCTAGACCATGGGCTCTGTGGAGTACAGCCAATTTGAACAACGTCAACCATGGATTTTTAAGAGTAGAGTCATTAAGGGATCATTATATTGAGCATAAAGATGATTTAGGTGGACTACAGAGGTGAAAAGTTTTGGTGTTTTGGAAAATACCAGTTACCTAAGAAGCTAACATAGGGCCAAGATGACTAAGCAAACTTTTCGCCGTCTTGTGTATGAAGTCTTGGAATGGGGAGAATGAGAGCCTTTATTTATTCACGTTATTGTGAAAGCGTTTGAACCTGAGACCCTCTAGAAGATACCACTTCAACTTTTGAGTATGACGAAAGTATAAACACCAGCCATGTTTAGCACAAAGTAAAAAGATGATATAATAACAGAGTCCTCTTGCATTCGGCTAGTATTTAAGTCACTGAAACTGTTCATGGAAATAGAGAATAAGTTGTAAGCTTGATGGGAAATATCTTATTGGAAGAAGTTCTTCCAGCTTTGTGGTATATCAGAAAGATTAAGGGTGAGGTATAGATTTGGCTTCAAATGCTACCTTTTCTCCTTACTGGATATGTGAGTTAAACAGGCAGCAACCGCTCCGTCTTCACTTTCTTTCCTGTACCATAGAGTCATAGTACCCTTTGCAGACATTATTGTGGAAATTAAATAAGAACATCTACTAGTGCAGGATTATCGCTCAAACTGTGGCTCTCTCCTAACATAATGTAAATGCCAGAGAAGAACCACTGTCTCAAAAGTTTTTTGAAGGTTCTCATTTAACTTCAGCTACAAAGCCCACAAATGAAGATTCTGAAATTAAAAACTACCGTACAATAAATATATGCCAGCCTTCCACAAAGCATTTGTTTAAAAAGAAAAATCAAGGTCCTATTTCCTTTGTGTTCGGTGCTCTGAGTCCTGCTGCCTTGGTTATGTGTGTGCCTGGTGGGAGGACTGGTGGTTGTGACAACCATTCCAGAATTCTTCACGGGTAACAGAAGCTACATAGAGTGGTTTTAACAACTTCTTAAATAATGCCCCTGCCCAGTTCTGATGGCATGTAGGAGTTATTTCTTCTTCAAGACTCATTACCTTGAGATGATTTTGTGAATTTCTTCTGTGGTGGTGGTGGTTGGACACTTCTCAAAGGGTTGTGTGAAGTTGTGTGAGAACTGTCCCTCTCTGACATTTTTTTGCACATTGAGGATTGTGAGAATGCATAATGTTCATTTCTGTTCTTCACTTGTTCTGCTCTCTTTGGTGAGAACCAAATATGTAGTTTGATGCTATTGTAATGAGAGATAAGCCTCCTATTAAAACAAAAACCAAAACAAGAATCCTGTGACAGTCACCATTCCTAGGGGGTCTGAGCTACAACCCTTGGGAACAGATATGTCAGTGTGTTCACGAAGGTCACAAGGGACTTGAAATTGCTTAGAAGGCTTATGAATCCAAGACACAGTGGCTGTTTGTTTGGCTGAATTCTATTGTGGTTCTTTTGTGTGTTTACATTGTTTTTCTAAAATAGTTACATGTCTTCATTAACTGAGATTATTGGTTTAGTTGACAGCCATTAGCCCAGAATATTTGATTGAAGCTTGAGAATCTTAGAGCCTATTCTCAGATTTTCTTTCTTTCTTTTTTTTCTTTTTCTTTTTTTTGGAGAGGATTTTGCTATAGGGTGCATGTGCTCGCCAGAAAGACAGAGACAGAGAGACAGAAAGTGAGAAATCACCCCCCCAGGGGGGATGGCCATGTCACAATCCCTTCTCCTCCATTCTCCTCTCTGGTTCTTGGGCACGCACACACGCAGATTTTCTTTTGCTTTAGGATTATGCCAGATTTATGGTGTGATCTTTGTACTTTAGCCACGTGTAAAAGGAGAATAGTTTTCAATGGATACTTTTTGCCCAAAGTGTCCAGAATTTGAGAAGGAGTCTTTCACTTACATATTTTTTCTGCACTATATAGAAATGCATGTTGCAGAGTTAGTATAATTGTCTCTACAGAAGAATCTATCTCCTGCAGATATGCAAGGATAACATTCCTGGGCGTGGGCCCTGGGTCTGCATTCTAGGCGGGGAGGGTTCTTGGCGCTGGCTGTAGGGGTCACAGTCAGTCCTAGGGTCATACCCCAAAGGCTCAGATCAGAGCTCTCCTGCTAGGTGACTTTGGGCAAGTTACATAATCTGTGTGAACCTTAATTCCCTCGCTGTAAAATGAAGTGATGAGAATGATAATAACAGTATTTCTGCGGTTTGTTATGACAAAAATGACAATGATGCAAGCAGACATCCAGTGCAGAGTCTGGCATGCTGAGTGCTATAGGCTTTGCAAGGGTCCCTCTTCCCTTCCTCCTCTGAGTTCTAAATATAAATTGAGAAAGACTGGAAAGGAATTGGCAGATGGCAGTCACATTTATTATTTTTGTTATCCAAGATTTAATCAGTTTTATTGCTGAAAAAACAGATGTGGCTTCGTCCGAGAGCCAAATGGGCTCATCAAAACCAAACCCCGGAATTAGATAGACTTAATCACCCACTCACAAGTTCTGGTGTGTACACATAGACATCTCCGCGTGGGCATTACAATTTATGATCTTCATGGGTAGACTGGCTCCCAAAGAGAAAGAGAGGGGTCCAGCAGCACTGTGGAGGTGAGGCTGGACATTAACATTTCAAGGCAGCTGGACTTGCAGTGCACATGCAGATTACTGCTGTAGGCATATTACTTACTTTGCAATGCCACCGTGCCTTTGCACTGCCTAGATTGGGCGTTTTCCCTACCTTACCTGGGAAAATATTGGACTAGTGTTCCAACCATGAATGTGGGCATGCCCTCCTTTGTGAAATCTTCCCCTCACTTCCCAGAGACAGAGTTGCCTAATTCTTCTCATTGGCAGATACTCTGTCATATTTCATAGTACTTAATTTGTGTTGACATTATTTGATAAGTAGACTAAACATTTTTATAAAATTCATTCACATCTGCACAGACAACAATGTCTATAAGAAAATATGAAACTATGTCCACCAAATCATTATTTTTAAAATTAGTATTGTGCTGGTTTTATGCTCTGCATTCCCTCCTGTGATGTCTCTGCATGTCGTCTCAGTCGCCATCTCAATTTAAACAGGGTTCTGCTCTCTCATGTCCCTTCCTCTCCCTCGTCTCTTCCATTCTCCCTTTTCTCTAAACCCATGGATGACCAGAGATGAGTAGATAATGGGGAAAGGACAACATTAACTTTACTCAAGTTCAGACTTGTTTTGGTGTCATAAGTAGAGCATGAAATAGAACACATGCGCATGAGAGAAAAAAGAAGAAACACAGAGGGAGGCACCCACACCAGGGTCTGATCATGCCGTGGTCCCATTCTCCCAGTCCTCCAGCTTGTCAGAATCTTGTTCATGTGTTTGATGATCTTTGGATCAACTTGGATCCACACCTGACCATATGGTTTTCAGCATTGCAGATCAACACTCTACCACCTGCACCACCAAGGCGGGGCCTCCACCAAATTATTAGCAATCATAACTCTGGAGAGAGGCATTTGGGTAGAACAGGGTGCTTATTGTTCATTTTTTGTTAATATGTGCTCAGTTTGCTTTTATACTGTTTTAATTTTTAAATGAGTGTGTATTATGATTTTAAGATAAAAAACAATAATCTAGAAGAGAAGAGTATCGCGTTAGTTTTATGCTCCTCATTTCCTCCCGAGATGATCTCTGCATGTCATCTCAGTCGCCCTCTCAATCTGAACAGTGTTCTGCCCTCGTGTCCCTTCCTCTTCCTCTACTCTTTCATTCTCCATTTTCTCTAAATCGGTGAATTATCAGAGATATGATTAAATAATGATAAAAGGACACTATTAACATTCCTCAATCTCAGACTTGTCTTGGTGCCGGAAGTAGGAACAAGTACCATCTTTTCCAAATACCTCTTTATTGAGCTGTTATAAATCTGAACTGATGAGAAGAAGAGAGACTACTTGTTTTCTTGCTCTAACTCTATGTATCTTTTCTTACAGGTACACTACGGAATTGAAGTTTTGAAGGATGGGTAAAGACTTTCGTTACTATTTCCAGCATCCCTGGTCTCGCATGATTGTGGCTTACTTGGTGATCTTCTTTAACTTCTTAATATTTGCGGAGGACCCAGTTTCTCATAGCCAAACAGAAGCCAATGTTATTGTTGTTGGAAACTGTTTTTCATTTGTAACAAACAAATACCCTAGAGGAGTTGGCTGGAGGATTTTGAAGGTGCTTCTATGGCTACTTGCCATTCTCATAGGACTAATAGCTGGCAAATTTCTGTTCCATCAGCGTTTATTTGGTAAGTATCGTAACCCATGAAATGTAATGTTGTTAGTTATTTAATTTCTTCTTTCCAATGTAAGAGTTTGTGTTTTTTCTAAATGCCAGTTGAGGATGCATCTCAGTTTGCCCTCCAGCCTTTGTTTATGCATTGTTGTAACTAGGTTCTTCAACTGTGCTGTTTAATGGTGCACTTTCTTTACTGCCTAAGGAAAATGAGCATAAATAAAATTAGTTCCAAACTTAATTTATTTAAAAAAATTAGCTTTAGAGATAAAATGAATGTGTGTATAACCTTATTTAGAAAAGACATGAAGATCGTTTCTCAGGGCCAGCAGTTAGTGTAATGGCTATGTCACTGGACTCTCATATAGTCGACTGCGGTTTGAGTCTTAGACTCAGTGGTTTAAACTCATGCTGGGTGCATGTGCGTGCTTGCCCAAGATCTCGAGAGGAGAATGGAGGAGAAAGGATTGTGATATGGCCATCCCCTCTGCAGGGTGATTTCTCAATTTCTGTCTCTCTCTCTCTCTGTCTTTCTGGCAAGCACACATGCCCTATAGCAAAAACCTCTCCAAAAAAAAGAGATAGCTCTTTTCTCAAAAGTGGTAACAAAATATGGTGAAGAATTGGTACGTTGCATAAAAAATGCCTCCATACCACACCACATTTTCATTAAAGTTAAGTTAACCGTTGCCATATATTAATTCATATTATTCATTTTGAAAATTAGAATTAGGATTCTAACTTTTTACCCACCTTTGTTTTTCTTTGACTTTTGTCTTTAGGATGTTTGCTTTGAGCCTATTCATCCACAGTGCAGTATATTTTTAAGACAACTCTTGATAATAAGCATCAGAAAAATATACTAAATTTGCTTGTTAAAAAAGGCAATTTATGGACCAGCAGTTGTTATAGTGGCTATGTTGCTGGACTCCCATGTAGTTGACTGTGGTTTGAGTCCTGGACTGGGTGGCTTAAACTCACGCTGGGTGTGTGTGCATGCGTGCCCACGATCCTGAGAGGAGAATGGAGGAGAAGGGATTGTGGTGTGGCCATCCCCCCTGAAGGGTGATTTCTCGCTTGCTGTCTCTCTATCTCTCTAGTGAGTGCACACGCACAATAGCAAAAAAAAACCTTTCCAAAAAAAAAAAAAAACCCACAATTTACCTGGGGCCAGCAGATGGTGTGGTGGAGGCATTGGATTACCACATGACTGATGGCAGTTCAAGTCTTGGACCCAGCAGCTTGCTTTCTCATGTTTTCCCCTGCCCCTCCCCCCATCTCTTTCTGATGACTATAGCAAGTTAAAAAAAAACCCAAATAATTAATAAATGCAACAAAATTAATAATTCTTTTAAAAAGGGCAGTTTACTATGTGGGTATTGGTTATTTCACAGAGACCAAGAATAGGATTAATTTTGTTTTATTTACATATTTTAATTTGACCAGAGTGAGAGAGAGCAAGAGTGAGAGAGGGAAGAGAGAGAGAGAAAGGTAGAAAGCAAGCCACCAGGTCTGGGACTTGAATTGTGGTCGACTATGTGGGAATCCAGCTCCCTAACCATTATGCCACCTGCCAGCCCATGGGATTAATTTTGGATATTGGGATAAATAGAACCGGGGGTTTAATTCTGTCAGAATGGTCTTCATCTCAACTTCTCTGTCTTATCTTCTTTATTCTCCTTAACTCTGATGATCAATTTCCATCCAGCTAGAGAGACTCACTTTCTTTCCGTTGGTCCCAAGTTTGAACTCTCAAAGGAAGGGCTCAGGTTGGTCCCATCTGAAGGTAGTTCCTACTTCTGGTCTGACTGATTTTGGTTGACAGAAGGGTGATTTTTTTATTCAACAAGTATTGATTTATGAGTTATTACACACCAGCTACTATTGTCTACAGTGAGTCAAACAGGCAAGGTCTCTGGCCTCATGAAAACTAATCTCCTATAGGAGGGATACAGATTACACAAATATACATGCAAAGCATGAAGAGGTGATATGTGCTATGGGGAAAAAAATGAAAGTAGTTTTAGACTCTGTGACTCAGTAAATTAAGAAGAGGACTTCATAATAGAGCTTTGGATTTAGCAATTGTAAGATCATAGGTAACACATGTGTATGTAAAATAGACACATACACGTATATAAGGACAAGTTTAAGAAGTTGGGTGAGGAAGTGGAAAGCAAAGATGGCAAAATAGCTAAAAATGGAAAGACTAAGGGAAGATTTCATTGTTGGTTGTGGGGGCAGTGGCTTTATTTTGGGGCACGAGATTAATTAATGTACCTATTGTTGTAGTGGAAGGAGCTAGACCAAGTGCAGATAAATTAAAGATATAAAAGAAAAGCAGTCTCTCTGGAGGTTCTTTGCTCTGGAGCTTAGTTCATGAGCAGAAATGGTGGTTTTAGAGAGGGCCAGCAGAGAGACCCTAGTTCCCGTGATATGGGCATGAGGGACATACAGGCTGGTGCTCTGAGGTCCCTCTGAGGTGGAGGAGCAGGATGGTAAGTGTCCTCTCACCTGATAAACTGTTTTACATGAAGAAGAAATGTTGAGTGTACAGGTAGATGCAAGGGGTTTAGGAAATTGGTCCGTGTTTGAAACAGTGACCCTAGGACCTTAGGGAGTGTGGAAGTGAACTGATTAGACACAACAGAAATTTGCTGATTATCACTGAGGGCCATTGAAATTGCTCTATATATTGAATGATTCCAATTTGAATTGTTGCGCAATTTTTTCTCTGAGAGGTCAGTCACCTGGAATGGAATTTGAGAGTGGTTTATCTGGGTGGGGACTGTTTAGCCATACTGCATTAGAAACAGAAGATGGAAAATAAATGGAGAATTTTAGTAAAATAAAACGGTTCTTGATTTTTTAAATGGAGGTTTTTTTTCTGGAGGTAGAAAGGAATGAAGGGGTGATAGTCAGGGGAGGGAACGAAAAGGCCTGAAGCTTTTTTTTTTAAAGTAAATTTTTTTTTTTTTATATAATTTGCTATAGGCTTCATGTGCTTGTGAGTGTGTGTGTGTGTGTGTGTGTGTGTGAGAGAGAGAGAGAGAGAGAGAAAGCATGCACCCTCCCTCCACTCCCCCCTCCCCCGAAGGGATGACCATATGGCAGTCCCTTCTTTCCCATTCTCCTCTCAGAATTTTGGGCACACATGCACAGATGCCCAGCATATTTGTCAAACTGCTGGGTCAGGAACTTAAACCACACAGTTGGCCATGAGGGATGCATCAGCCTTTACCATGCTAACCAATGACCTGGGTCTGAAGATTTGAATAAACTGAACAGGATTAAGAAAAGGGTGAGAATTGATGAATGTAGTCAGATGACCTTTATTCAAAAAGTTTATTTATTAATTTTCTTTATGAGAGTGACAAAAACAGAGAGACAGAGAAAAAGAGAAACAGACAGACTGACAGATAAGCACCCTCAACAGTGCCTCATGCTGTAATTTCTCCCAGTCCTCCTAGCCAGCTAACATCATGGGTACAGATGCCTTGCACGCACAGGTCAGACAGGGGACAGCCTACGATCCTCCACACAGATCTCATCTGATCATACCGTGTGTTAGCACTGTGCCACTGAGCCAGTCCAGATGACATGTAACAGAGGAACAGTCCTTCTTAGTGGAGGTTCCCAATGAGAGTATGGTCCTTAGAGAGTGGCTGCTATGTGGGATGGAGACACAAATTATTGGCAGAAAGGACATGTAGGGACTGGGTGTTATTTGGGTCATCCACTGAACACTGAACAACATGGCATTATGCAATATAATCATACAAGCAGAAGAGGTGAAGGGTGTGTGGTGAGTGGGAGAAGGTCATTTTCCAAAAGTGGTAGACAGTGCTGGCAGACAAAACAATAGCAATTACAGCAATAGCTGAATGTGTTTGTAACCCATTCAGGAAATACTCTAAGACAAACTGAAATCAAATATCTAGTTTGAAGAAGACTTATCTACCCATATGAAAGATTTATTGATAATCATTCAGTTAAGGTAATGAGTTTATAAATACCAAGGGCATGTCATTTCATTCTGTTGCTGCTACATATTAAGCCATTCTAGTATAGACTCTTATTTCTTACACTAAAATCACATCTCAATCATGGTTTATATCTTAATTCTTCTGTTGGCATATGTAATTAAACCTGGAAAAATACTCTAGATTTCAAGTAGTTTATTCAGTACAGATTATTGCAAAATAATGTGAAAATATATCCTATTTTTTATAATGGAAAAGATTCTTCAATGTAGTTTTGTAACTTCTGTGGGTAATTCCTTCCCTCCCTTTTTCTTTCCTTACTAAAAGCCTATGAAAATATAGGGGGTATTAGAGAAAGAATGATAACCTTCTATAAAGCCTACTGAGTAAGATAACTCCTCATTCAGTTTTTTAATGAATGCCAGACTTGAAACCCTTTCCTTCTCTGATTTAATTTCTTAATGAACGCCATACTTATCCCCTCCTTCTATCTTTCTCATCTCCCTTTAAGGCAATTACATCTTCCCTGGTTCATGAACTTTTAATCATTTTTTCCTGATAGTTCTCTCTTTTTCTAGTTCATTGTGGATTTTCTATAGGAAAAAAATTTTCTGTATTTCTTAATGGCACCTACCAGCTATAGAATAAAATCCAGACTCCTTTGATTGATACCCAGTGCTCTTTATGATCTCTTCCTGTCTGGCTCCAAACCTGGTGTCTCGCCGTTCCACACTGTACAGAAGTAGCTGGTGGTTCTTCAACCTGCCATGTTGTCTCATGCCATTGTGCCTTGCATTGTGATCTCCCATGCCCATTGTGTTTGTCCCCTCGTTAACTTTGCTAATTTCTCCTTTTCCTTAAAATCACAGTTCAAGCATTATCTCCTCTGTGATATTTTCACTGACTCCACCATGTCAGACTTAGATAATTTTTTCTCCAGTTTTCATTTATGACTGCTGTGCTTTCGAACTGACAGTCATGTAGCATTACAGAAGGAGCCTACCATTTAATGTAAAGATTAGTGTTCTTG